GCGCATTGCAGTAGTCTATCTGGGAGATAACAAGGGCGTGAGTGACTGTTCGAAGGGCATCTCGATTCAGGAAAGGGCGTAACTGATGCACAACCTGAAGTTGTGCAAAGGCCCTCCTTGCTATGGCTGCCACCTGCTCTTCAAGCAGGAGCCGTGAGTCTAGGAGGACCCCCAGATTACACATTGGGTCTGTCTGGACCCCCAGATTACACACTGGGTCTGTCTGGACCCCCAGATTACACACTGGGTCTGTCTGGGGCAGTGCCACTCCATCCAGCACCAAAGATGACAAAGTCCTGGATACAGAGGAACCATTAACCCACAGCCACTCCGTCTTACCAGGGTTCAGCCGAAGTCTGTTGTTCCCCATCCAGACCCTTACAGCCTCCAGGCACCATGAAAGGGCGGCCATGGCATCACTTACTTCACTTGGGATGGAGATGTATAACTGTGTATCATCAGCATACTGATGATATCTCACCCCATGATGACGGATGAGCTCGCCCAGCAGTTTCGTGTAGATGTTGAAAAGGAGTGGAGAGAGAACCGAACCCTGCGGCACCCCACAAAGGAGGGGCCGAGGATGGGACCTCTCGCTCCCTATCACCACCGATTGGGATCGGCCCTGGAGAAAGGAGCTGAACCAGCATAAGACTGTGCTGCCCACCCCCAATTCCCTGAGCTGTCCCAACAGGATACCATGGTCGACAGTATTGAAAGCCGCTGAGAGATCAAGGAGAGCAAGGATGATCGCACTTCCACCATCCCGCTCCCACCAGAGGTCATCCATAAGTGCGAGCAATGCCGTTTCCATCCCATAACCGGGCCTGAAACCTGACTGGAAGGGATCCAGATAATCTGTTTCCTCCAGAACCCTTTGGAGCTGTGATGCCACCACTTTCTGATATGAAAGTTGTTCCATCTTGTTAGGGAAGCAGGATTATAGTCATTCAAAATTTGTTCTTCTATCTATTGTAAACTTAAAACACAGGAATAAGACTGGACATTCACTTGCACTGGTCTGTCTCCTCCTCACTGCATTGCATTCAGCTCCAGTTTGTTCTCTGAATTCCTCTTGCTACTTTTTATTTGGGGCAGTCACAGAAAGCAACCAGAGAACTACCCTGTTTTGTGAGTTAAGTGTTTCTGCATCCTCATCCTCATTTATATATTCTACCAAAGTGTTGATGACAGACCATATAAAGTTGAGTATTCCATAATTTATTCCTATGAACGTCATTCTAGAATCCTTAGAATCAGTGAAAGCATATCCATTGCTAAATATAAAATGAAAGCCGTAATCATAGGCATATTGTGTCCAGTGTTATTTATTACACCCACCTTCATGTAATATGGCGTGTGATGTAAGGCTTGCCGCAAGCAGTCAATTGCTTTCTTCCCTTGACCTTTTACCCTCCAGTAAAGGGCTGCCATGCTGGAAAGGATCCAAGAAGTTTGATTCTGGCATAAAACACAAGAAAGAAGGAAAATTTCATCATATGTTGACTATATTTGTTTCACGCTTTTACTATTTTTCCTTACCATTTCATGCTTATTCAAAGATCTAGAAACTTAGAACACCTCTCTCTTAGTAAGGTACACCTTGTATAGGGAGCCATACTATCAGAGGATGTATGTCGAACTTTAATATGGTTACAAGTAAGTTTAATTTTTATTTCAAGATCAAAACTTTGATTTTTGTTTAGCAGAGAAATACTGCCACTTTGTGGTTATTTGAAGCAATTCCTTAAGAATCTGTTTTTGAACTAGTGGGGCATTTGGAATTTTGAAACCATAGTGGGGCCCCTCTCACAGAACGGTTCTTGAAGTGTTAGGGCTTGCCCATTCATACAATGGTTACCAAAGTGGGAAATCATAAAACACTTATATACTAAAATGCAAACTGGTGAAAATAAAGTAACTTCTCCAAGGACTTCAGTACAAAGCAAAGTCGAAGTCTGAGCCTAAATACCCAAAACACATATTTTACCTGCACAAAGCACAACAAAATACCATTTCGCAAAAGACAAGCAGGTGATCCTCAGAGACATACACACATTGAGGCAAAATGTCCAGCCACACCACACTTCCACAAGAAAGAGAAAGGCGAGACGTGCATGCGGCTCACGCAGAAAAGCCAAAGCACAAAGTAGACTACACGCCAAAATCAACAAGCCAGCACTTTGTTCCACAAACACACAGATCAGTGGTAAGACATCCCTTCTTCCTGGCCATCCCCATCTAACCTATAGGATGTTCTCTACCTGCCCCCTGTTGGTGTACTTTTTTTTTTTTTTAACACATTTCACAACAAAGAAATCACCTGCCATTTTTATTTTCTAATAATGCTTCTTGGAAAAAAATAGTGACAGTGTTTGAGAGCGGTGCTTTGCTTTGAAGAAGAATAATTACATAATAGGTAGATAGACTGATAAATAAAAGCAGGAAATCCTGAAGGGTCTAGGGGAGGTCAGGGATCCAAATGTTCTGAGAGCCATTCTCCAATGAAGTGCCTTGAAGTAGTAAGATGATGATGGGGATGGAAGATAGGTAGGGAGCTTGGGATGGACACTAGCATATGACTATTCTTTTGAGGTCAAAGAACTGGTGGTCTCCCTTAAAAAAATGCATGGTTGTTTGAATTGCTTTGAGACTCTGGCACACTCTGAAAAGGAAATGAAAATGTGTCTGTTAGAGATCAGTCTGAATCTGCAGATTCAGAAGTTGAAGAATTTGACCAGAGTGAGCACCAGCCTGCACCAGGTGAGGAGATACAGGTGCAGGTTGAGTCATTGGACCCACAGCCAGAGCTAGGCAAGGCCCTGAGCCCAGCAACACACTGCAAATTATGAACAGAAGATCAAAGGAACTCAACCCATCTACCTAAAAGAAAGAAGTGTAACTCAACCAATTAGTCAAGCTGGTAGTAAGGGCTCTTTGTGGCAAAACAATGTTCAGATTTCCTACCCATGACTCTGTCTGTATATTGTTGTTGGATTACCTAGAATCTTGGACTGAGAAAATACCATCCTTGGATCTTTCTGAACTTGAGATTTGTCTCTCTGTACTCTTTTGCTAAAGCAAGCTCTTGTGCCTGTTTTCTATGCAGAAGGCTTTAAGTCTGCAGCGTGCTTTGTGTTACTTTGGTGAAAGATTTATGATTGCAATAAACACCTTGAGTTTGTTATCAGAAGCTAGTTATGTGTGCGTAAATGACAGCACAGAACAGACTGTCTGCCACCCCCACGTCAAAGGAGTTGACTCCTTTAACTGCAGTCATTGAAACTGAGGAATTACAAGTTGAAATTCAACTACTGAATGTACAGCTTCTCTGACTTGAATTGACTTGACTTGATGCAAGGTATACAGAATTTATGAGTGCCTCCAGCACCATGACATAAATGTCCTGAAGACTTTCTCACAGACCAGGTTAAATCTGGTTTTGTTATCATCTTATTTCCTGGCTGAGCTGCAAAATGGGCTACTCTGCTACTACAACAGACCCATTACTGTTTAATTATGACAAATTTGTCAAGCATTTCAAGTTGATGTTCGAAGGCCCAGCTAAATCAGTTACAGCAAATGGAGCATTAGAGAAGCTGGTCAAAAGCTGATTATGTAAATGACATCAGGCTCTTGGTACAAGAACTGGAGTGGAATGAGGTGGTTCTGATGGATTATTCCCAGAAAGGACTTATGGATGAGATCTTGGATGAGCTGACCTGAGTGGAATGCCTTTCCTCCCTGTAAGATCTCATCTATTGATGCCAGCATATTGATGGATGCCTTGAACACTGAGGCTGGTACTCTCCAGACCTCATCTGCCTCCCTTTAGACCTCAAATGCAGGGACCTCCAACTACTTCTCTCAGAGCCAATGCAAACATGAGCAAGATCTCATTTATCTCCAGAAAAAAAGGGGGCCAAGGACATTGGGCCACTACACACACCAGATGCGAGCAAACAGGATGCATCCAGTCTACTGTAGAGGGGTTCCAAGACTGGGGAATCACAACTGCTCAGCT